TGGTTCAAGTCCCTTGGGTCGAGAACTCAGTTCTTCTTTTCTTGAAAAATTTCCTTCTGTTCAGAATTTGATTCAAGGTGAGACTTTTCGAAAAACGCTTTACAACATGGAAAAAATTTTATTGTTTCTCTTCTCGGACCAACGGGGCTGTTCGGTGGAATTCCGCAGTCCCGTCTTGGTCTAGAATAATAAAAGGAAGTATGAGAAAAGCATCCAATCATAAGAATAATGTCGAGCACAAAATTCAATTTTGCATTATAAGCAGCTTAGAGACGATTGATATATGGTTTTTTTCAGAGAGGTCATACCAGCCTAGGGCACATCGTTGTTGGGGATTTCCTAACAGGGGGTCGTATTTGGTCACTGGGAGAGGGGACGGGTCGAATTTGGGCTGAGAAAAATTTATTTGGACAGTTGTTTCTTCTTGTTTCACAGACGTTATAGAGGTGGGGTCGTATTTGTTCATTGTTGGGAGGGGAGGGGGTCGGTTCCCCTTCCGACCTTCTGAAACAGGTCGCCTAACTTTTCGAGATTTTTTTCATGTGTATTATACACCTTTCCCCGCTCGATAGCCCGATGAGGAGGGAACGGGGGGGGGGTGGGTCGTACCCCCCGCAAGAAAGTTGGATGGTCGTACGAACTTGACCAAAATCCCAAACGAATGATGAGCCCTGTGCCAGCCTTTCTGACGAAAAATGATGGGTACCAATGCAAACCCCCGTCAAACCTGACGAACAAGATTGTTTCGTTGCGTAGCTACTTACCGAGCTTTCAGGTTACGGTATGACAGAAATTGTGGTTCTTAGCCACATAACCCCACTTGGGCTTATCGACGAAAAGCATCTTGGTAGCTGCGGTAAGCTGTTGCCAGGATTTGAGGCTGAGGTGAGCTTCCAACGCAGGGCAGTAGCTAATCTGGGACTAACCTCGTGTATAGCTTGATACAGTTAAGAGACGAAAATGGAGGCGTCGTCGATGGTCCCTATTGTCCAGGCGAGCTTTATCTAAAATCGCCGACAGTTAATGCGCGTGGATACCAACAACTCTGATGAATCCAGATCCCGTTCGTTGACGATGGCTGAGAACTGGTGAGCGATCAGCCTACTGAAATGTTTCTGCTACAAGATCGCCGTAGTTCTAAAGTGTGTGGCCCATTCTGGGCTAAACTCTTTGACGTCAATCATTCCCTTTTGGACGCCACTCGCACTTAGAGCCGTTGTGGCTTATACACTGGTCTGCGGGGGCCGGTCAATATACGGTCCTATCCCCTTAGACGAATCTTCTAACTCGACTCACTCCCTCAGGAGAGGCAAACCGCTCGACGACTGGCTCTAGCGCAAGCGCGCATCGCAGGACCTGAACCCTCGGACCGCACGTGTGCTAAGCGTGCCAGCTTGCCATCTACATACCATTGTCCACCCTCTATTGGCCTCGGGTATTAACCGGCCATGTGGAACGTGGTGGACTTTTGTGGTTGAAAGTCAGTGGGGTACAGGCCACAGAATCCAAGTTGCCTACTAGTCTTTAACGGATGTGTATTAGTCTCGTAAGCAGCTGGTGAACCTTTTTTGAACTAGTCCAAACTAACATCCATTCTGGTACAATAGTGATGTCCCCTAGGTAGCGGCTTGGCTGAATTTACCTTTCAAGCTTCTGCTAATCGATATTTGCAAAATAGAGAAACCACTCCAAGCAATGTGGAGGTCTGAGTGATCAGTTTTAAGGAGACGTACTGTACTTCGATGAAGATGGGTTTTACTTCGTCGTCGATCGAGTGAAGGATCTCATCAAAGTAAACGGAATACAAGTTTCGCCATCTGAATTGGTGAGTGATCTTCCAAGAGTTTCTCATGAATGAATTCATTTTTTGGCCAAAACTTCTTTGTTATTTCCTTTGTCGTAAGAGTACGCTAAACGCTGGAGATTCCTTCAAAGTAAAGGGGAAAGACCGTACTTAGCTGCCAATGAGAGAAGAGAGGTTTTATTTGGCCTGGTGGGTGCAACACCCCCATACCAAGGGGTATTGGTGGGCGTATCGGAAAATTCCCCTCACCATCCATGACCGTCGGTTGCCAATGCTTCGATGCCTACCGATAAAGGGTCATCAAAGGATAAAGTCTTTGCCGCTGATTAAGCCTGCTTGAAATGCGGCAGGCATTCGGCTTGCATTCAGATCGTAGTGCCCATTCAAGGCACATCGTTGTTGGAGATTCATTGAGGGCGGGGATCGCATTGGGTCAAGAAAATTTTTTTTGATAGGTTGATCTTTTTTTGTTTCGGACACTGTGGAGGGGTCCGTAGGAAACTGTCACTGAGAGGCCGCAGTTCAATGTCAACAAGTCAGTGTTCTCATCCTTTGAGACGACACCCGGTACCAAATCACCGTTCCAGAGGATAGAAGGTGTGAGCCGACCGAGATTTTTTTCACACGGACTGCGCGCGTGCTATGCGTGTCATCTGCCACCACGCCACCTGCGCCTCGCCCTGGTTACCATAACCCGACTTATTTCTGCAAGGCACTAATTGCTATACTTGATATTTGTCATTTTGACACTGATTTTGAATCGCTCGTGCCTGCTGTTTCAGGAAGACATAATTCTGACGGATGTCAGCGTCCGAGAAGTGGGAGTGATTGGCATGATCACCCTCACTGCGGTCAGGTACCCACAGCATGGTCGTACTTGAAGAAGGCATAGATCCCGAAAATGCAAAAAACAGCATCATTGCCCTTGTGAAAGGTTTGCGATAGTCTATAAATCAAGTGCGATCATTAATAGTGGGCATAATTGAATGCGTTCAGCGAGGCTCGCCCCAACAAAGCATCTCCGTGGAGGAGTCAGGATTGTTGACGAATTGCCCAAAACAAGCAGTGGAAAGGTAAAACGGAATGAATTGCGAGCCCTTCTGCAGTAAGCGAATCGCTGGAGGCATCTCCTAAAGCTGCACAGAAAGATGGAATCTGTCCATTCTCTAAGCTCCTCTAGTTCTGTCTCTCGTTTTCAGGAATGAGGCAATGTTTAATAAACCATTTATTACATTTTTATTGGTAATTTTTTTGTAGTGCTTCTGACCTATTGAAAATCTTCTCCCCTGAGAAAGAAGGCCTTTCCTGGATCTTGTCAAATGTGTAAGCTAATGGTAAGAGAGGTACCCTTCTTCTAGCATCTACTCGCATTTTCCTAGGCAGCTCGTACTGAAAGCTTTCTCCAACAAACTGGCTTCATTCAATGCCACTCTGTGAAGCCTCTCTCATCCTGATTGCTTCTCTCATGCCTTCATATCATCCGATTGTTCTTTTAAGTAAACGCACTCTCTATCCGCAAGGTGAATCCTTACCATGTGCGAGGAAGGCCTACAGCTGTGAAGTGTCCCACTTCTACCCCTCGCTATTCCGCCGAACAGAAACTGGTGGGTGTGGTAGCTGGATGCCGTTTTGGAGTCCCGGTGTCCTCGTGCGGCATGTGTATCGATGTCGGAGTCCTGCAGCGAACAGCACGAACGGTAGCTGCCTACCGCGACCATGTGCAGATAACAACCGAGAAATCAAACCAAATAAGCCGCAGGCAAGAGGCGCCTTAACTTGTACTAGGGCGTGTGCCTAGTCGTGGGGCACGCTCCGTCGGCTGTTGCCCGGTGGGTGTAGTTCGAAAAGACGTGGCTATCACTACCCTCCAGCCCCATTTCGGAGCACTTTCGACTGGCGAAAGTGACACACTACTACAACTGCAGACTTGTTGACCTGATACATGGCATGGTTCAGGACCCTCAAAGCATACAGCGTATCTTCAAGCAAGTTTCTACACTGTTAATCCTTTGTTTTCTTTGTTCTTTTTACCCTCTTTAGTCCACATAGTGCAGTAAACATGTATAACAGCCAGTGGAAGTAGAAAAAGAAATAATTATTGGTATACAAACAAGAACAAAAGGCCAATAATTTCGTTCGTGAAGGTTGGGAGGGAGGAGGCTGGAACATTACGTCAATTCCTGTAAAAGTAACGTGCAGTTTGGTGGAGGCATGTGAACTTTTGTAAACTGGAGAGTATGTCCGGACCATGTAATTGAGCAGCAGGAAAAAAGCTCGGACGTGCGGGAGGGGGCGGTACGAACGCAGTACTTCAGTATGGTTGAACCAATTCCAACGAGAAGTGGAAACCAATTTTTTGCTCAGAGGAATTTGTCTGCTTTTCCCAAATCTCATTCTTC